GACGAGCGCACAAAGGCAAATCGGCTAAATTGCATATTTAGGCTCCGAGCTCAAAGTCAAGCCCATGATCTGTTGATTCGAAGAGAATGGCGTCACAAGTAAAACTCATCACTCTTCCTTGACCGACAGGCTTTTTCAGGCATCCGAGATCGTTTGGTAGCCCGAAATCCAGTTTTAAAGCTTTTACAATTTTTGGAAACTTTGTTATTTTCCTAATTAATTTTTTTTGTTATTCTCCTATTTTAATTCTATTGTTATTCTTAGGATTTTTAGGAGTATTTAAACATACTTTACCCGTGGTTAGGGTTATGTTTTAATATTCCAGTTTATCAGATAAACCTTCAAGTTTCCTCATCTTCCTAGTGGATTCTAGAGTTCCATGTTCTAGGCTAAGGTTTTAGCCATATATATGTCATGCTACATCAGTTGGCATCAAAGTAGGTATGTCCTACCCGATGAACAATCAAGATGGAGGTGATAGGACCCATGGCACAGGGGAAGTTATTACTAGTACTGAGTTTAAGACCTTCTATGCAACAGTGGAGGAGGTTCGGCATTTATTGTTGGGCATGGGAAACCAAAACCCTCCACCGCGACCTAATGGAGGAGCCCGCGTGCAACTTCCTATTGTTGAGAGACATCCTCTCCTTAAGAGTGAGGAGGAGTCTGAAGAACTCCTCCATGAACAGCCCCTGATCGCACCTAATCAGAATAATCGTAACCAATACATGGACGATTTTCGGATTAAGGCTGATATTCCATACTTTAATGGCCACCTAAAGATTGAAGACTTTCTTGATTGGTTGGTAAAGATGGAGCGTTTCTTCGAGATTATGGAGGTTCTAGAGACAAAGATGGTGAAGATAGCTACCTTTCGTTTGAAAGGTAGGGCGGTTGTATGGTGGGACCAGCTTCAAAAATCACGGTAGGGGTAGGGTAAGCAAGTAATGAAGACTTGGTGTAGTATGAAGCAACTGATGATAGGGAGATTCCTACCTGCCGATTATGAGCAATACCTATATTGGCTCTACCATAATTGGCACAAAGGCAATCAGACCGTTTATGAGTATACAAATGAATTTTTGCTTTTGGCTCAGTGCAATAATTTGAAGGAAACAAATGGTCAAATGGTCGCTAGGAATATCACTGGGTTGAGAAGTTCTCTGCAGGAGAAAATTGGGTTTCAGACTTTGTGGACATCTCATGGGGCACAAAATATGGCATTGAAGGCCAAATTACCAGAGAAAGATAAGCGTACTGGGTCTAGCACTAGTGGTATCAAGAAGAGCAGTTATGAATCCTCTGCCCATCCATGGAGAAAAACAAGGTGTGCAGTAGAATCCTAGGGAGAGTGATATACAAAAGAATTTTACCTCACTCGACAAAGGTAGTAGTAGAAATTAGGGAAGAGATCTCAACAAAAGGAGCAATCCTTATGCTAGGTCGACGAATGATATTTGTTACAGGTGTTCCACCAGGGCATCGCTCCAAGGAGTGCCCAACCCATAAAAAATAGGTCAATCTAGCTGAGGCGATTGAAGACAAAGATGAGGAGGATAATGTTGATGCATATTATGAAGGAGCAGAATTTGTGAATGAGGATGGTGATGAGATGGTCAATTTAGTGTTGCAGAGAGTCCTCCTATCCCCAAAACAGGAGGCAGGGCAATGAAACAGGATTTTCCGTAGTAACACCGCTCATCCGCAGATGGATGGTCAAACTAAGATTACCAACAGAACCCTCGGAAATATGGTTAGGAGCATTTTTGAAGACAGGCTGAATCAATGAGACATTGCACTGCCACGGATGGAGTTCGCTTACAACAGTGTTGTTCATTCTTCTACAGGAAAATCACCATTTACCATTGTTTACACTTCGGTGCCTAGGCATGTGGTTGACCTAGGAAAGCTTCCAAGAGCCCAGAAGACTAGTGTAGCTGATGAAAATATGGTTGAACAACTATGAGGGAAGAAGTGAAGGAAAAGCTAGAGAGGCCCAACACCAAATTTAAGGCCGCCACTAATAAGCGTTGCCGTGTGAAGTTGTTCTAGAAATGAGACTCTGTGATGATTTACTTGAGGAGAGACCGTTTCCCAGTTGGTACCTACTGTAAACTGAAACCTCAGAAGTATGGCTCATTCTGAAGAAAATAAACGACAATGCCTATGTCGTGGATCTTCCTTCTTCTATGGGCATATCAAGCACTTTCAATGTTGCGAATCTACATGAGTTCCATGATGATGAGTCAATTTATCCTAATCATAACTCGGGGTCAAGTTCTTCGGAAGTGGAAGGGACTGATGTAGAACAAATGACAGAAGTAATCGAAGAGGAGCTGGAGCGACGTGTGAGCAAAGGCAAATAGAGTAAAATGTAAATTTGGGCTCCGAGCTCAGAATCAGGCCCATGACTTGTTAATTCGAAGAGAATGGCGTCACAAGTAAAACACATCGCTTTTCCATGACGTATGGGCTTTTTCGGGCATCTGAGATCGTGTAGTATCCCAAAATCCAGTTTTAATGTTTTTACAATTTTTGGAAACTTTGTTATTTTCCTATTTTAATTCCCTTGTTATTCCTAGGGTTTCTAGGAGTATTTTAACATACTTTACCCGTGGCTAGGGTTATATTTTGTTATTCCAGTTTATCAAATAAACCTTGAGGTTTCCTCATATATTCTAGGTGGATTCCAGAGTTCCATGTTCTAGGCTAAGGTATTAGCCATTTATTTGTCACGCTGAAAATGACCCTTATGGCACGGCGTAGTCAATTATTCTCGCAGTTAAGATAAGATTCAGACCCGCATATAAGGAGAGGTCGAATTCCAAGAATTTCTTAAAAGCTGAAAAACGGAAGCCTGGGCTAAAGTTTGGCCCCCTCGATCACCCTTCCCTTGAACTGGAACTAGTCAAGAGAATTCCTCTTTGGCACCTACGGTAGAGATCGGAGGTATTTGCCAGTTTAACAACACCCTATTGGAAAATACCACGAAACTTGGAGCTTAGTTAGTATATTGGAAGATACACATGTATTATCATAAGTGTAGCTCTAATATTTTAAATGAAACAGAGAAGACCTTACAATATTGTAAAACAATAAATGAAAACGACACCCAATAGATGACGGAACATAAAAATACCCATTAACTAAAGCAGAAGCATGGTATAACCACAATTCCAAAAGTAAATTACGTAAACATAGGCATGTATTTTCCATATAGCCAAAAGGTCGTAAATTAGAAATTGAATCAATCAAACTAAAAGATAGCTACAAATTCAGTAAGAGTTAGATCATCAGATCTTCAATGAGCTTGAAATCCATGCAGTAGGCAGTTTGAGATATTGCACATATAGACATCAATTATAGGGTTGAAGTTGTAGCATTGTTTGAAATCATATTAAAGGCACCGAATTCAGGACATGTTTACTGATCAGGGACTTGATTAGTGCGGTGCTCTTCTGCTTTGGATACATTTCGATTTTGTTCCATGGAATCAATCTTCTTGGATGAAGCTTGTATCTTGGCTTCCAGTGAACCAATTAGTTTAATCAATTCGACCTGCGAAAACTCGTCGATTCGATCATCCCAAGTTGGGTACAAATTTTCAAACTTTTGATCCACGTCTTCCTTCTTGGTTGTGTTGAAAAAATCAGACAAATCGAAGTTTTGCTTTAAACCAGGGATGTGAATATCCTTCGAAGCTTTATACTTGTTAAAAATGCGATTGAATTCAGCTGAATCTTGAGGCCACGTCTCTGATTGAATTGCCCTCCCCTTCTTTTGATCAGCTTCATAGATGATCAAGCAAACATCAATATCACAGAGTTTCGAAAGCTCGTCCGCCTTTTTATATATACATTTCTTTCTCTTCCGAAAGGTCATCTTACGAGCAATCTCATTTGGTATGAGTTCTAAGCTTCTTCTAGCTCTAGGAGGCATCTTTTTATAACTCTGCAAACAAAAAAAGTGCAAAAATATAAATAATTAGTTTCACATATATATTAGTTGTGAACATAAGGATAATAGAATTAGGTTAACATATTATTCCACTCTTAAAAGAGAATACAAATGAACTTGAGAAATAATATTTTCCTAATGCGTTGTAGTTGATGGTGGGGCATATATGTTTTTTTTTTCTTCTTCAAAAATCTTTTGCTGAAGGCAGCAGATAATTTCACACACAAAAAACAGGCAGCAGATTTATTTTTTTTTGGTCGAAACAGGCAATAGATTTAGCATATGAAAAAACCAAAAAACAGCAAACTTCTTGTGGTGGGCCATGTAGACATAGGTTTATTATTAGTTTTTCTTCAAAACTTCCTGGGCTACAGCCCACCACATCTTCGGCCGTGGTTCCGCCCAATGAGGCCTGTTTTTCAGTTCAACACATGGATTAAGATACATAAAACCCTAGTCGCATACACGCACACAATACCAAGATATTTAATCAAAACAAAAATTAGATAACTCCTCTTTGTGTTTCTTTTCGAAGTTAAAATAAATCTCTTATTGAGAGATTCAGTTCACGAAAATAACAGATACAACATGGAAATGAAAAAGGTTTGGATCGATTTAAGTTATGAACGTAATTCGAAGCAAGCATGTTGCAAAACTTTGGATTCGAACCAAAAATAAAGAAAAATCTAGTGCTCAAGCATTGATCTTTGAAGAAAATACCTTAGTCTTTTAACAGCTTCTGGATCCAGCAGCAGCCTACTTCTTCTCTCACTCTTTCGGAGATATCTATCATCTAACAGAAGCAAAGCAATAATAAAGGTCGGGTTATTGTGATTGAATAATTTATAGGGGGAGGCAGAGTGTGAGCCAGTTAAGGAAACTAAATTCAAATCCTAATTGATTTCTCTTTAACGATAGGGTTTGATTTCGGCTATTTTGATTTGATACTTGGCAGGTTCGGGTGGTGTGTTTTTACAATAATACCCTCGAGCTCCCTTTTTTTGGGAATTTTGGTGAAGCAACATAGTTTAGGGCCTGTGACACCTCTGGGTTACTAGACGCTGGAACGGCGCCGTTTTGCTTAGGGGACAAAATGTTTGGTTTGGTTTGGTTTCACTAGGGCTGGGCATTTCATCGGAAACTCCAGCGTAGCTCTCTCCATCTCCGCAACAGCTCCTTCCAATCCGTCTTCTCTCCATTCAGATTCTGAACAACCGTACGGAAAACCAAAAATCCCCAAATTCCAAAACCAAGAAAGTGCTGCCTCATCCTCATCCTCCTACTCCATCTCGGTGAGTTGTTTGTGTGTTGATTTTGGTTATGTGTAATTGATTCTGTTTGGTTGATTATGCTTTTGTGTGGCTCTGGGTCGATGGATTAGCTTAATTAGAATGCCCAATGCTCTCTATCCTGTATGTTCATTTTCCTTCCCTTGATTTCTTTTTCCAAAATTGGTACTGAACCTTGTTGAGAAATGGTAGCAAGGATATAAAAATTAGCTCTTTTAGTTCCCAATATTTGGGTATTTGGTTGATCTGCAGTTGCTAGTTGTGGACCAAACTTGGGTTGTTTCTTTGTTTCTGGCCTTTTTTACTGTGATGCTTGTTTAGTCACTCCTCTATAGCAAAAAGGTTTTATGTTCATTGCAATAGAAAATTAAGAATAATTGCTTAAATGATTTCTGAATGCATAATTTTTTTTTTTTTTTTTTGGTAAAGATATTTAATTATTTCAAATTAACTATATAGAATGACTATCAGTATGTCATAGGGTTGGATCACAAGGTCATGCCTAGGTGGGGGTCACCGGGTCAAGTTCGATGGTCATCAAGTTGAGTCCAATGGTCACTAGGTTAGATCAGAAGGTCACTAGGTCAGACCAAGAAGTTACTTGTTTGAGCTTGTGATTAAGGAGGCCGGTTTGATTGTTAGAACTTAGAAGGGCAGGATCAAGGGTCAACGAGGAAGCAAAAACAAATATAGTTACCAATCTTACTTAATTTTCAGTTTTAAAAAATGGAAAGAAAAAAAAAAAAAAAAAAGAGTCATGGCTTGTTTCCTTGGAAATTCAGGGAGGGCTGCTCTCTGGCGCGGAGAGGGTTTATTCTGGTCTACCTCAAGGTCCTTTCATGGAGGACTGCTTTCTGGCGGGAGTAGCTGTTATGCAGCTCTCACATGAGTTTTTCTGTACCTTCATATATGATTTGAGTTTCCTTGTTGATGTGCTTTCATAAACAGAGCTATTTTTCCTATCGTGTATATAATATGATTTTCCTTAGATTCCTGAAAGAGGAAGAGCTTTGAAATTTGTAGACAATTCTTTTTTTTGTCATTATACAAAATAACTATAAACTCATAAATTGATTCGCATTATGTTTGTCATGCAATCGTGTTTTCCTAGTATTATTATGCTTAATGAAATTTAAGCTGTTATCTTTTCATGAGATATGATGGCTTTAGGTGATAGATTGCAACTGATTCATCTGTTATCACAGTTGATTTTCTCCAGTTATAGTTGCAGTCAAGGTTCGTTCTTCATTCCTTGCTGAAGGTGATCCAAGTTTTTAGGTTAGACATCTCCAAACTGAAGCAGTGGATTTTTACTTTGGTTGGTCCTCTCCTTGTTTTTTTGTTTGTACTGTGACTTTATTATTTAGATTAAATATCATTTCTATTTTGATCCGACTGTATATGTTTTTAGATTTTCTAATACCGAACGACTTTGGTTTGTTTTTCATTTTCTCTATATACTTCTGATTGTTTTATTTTACTTTCTTGGTACTCAGTCCCATTATTTGTTACTTTTTGTACATAATCTATAAATCTGATGTGAAATCTTTGTTCATATGTTATATGATTTCCCCATCCTTTTTTTTGTATTTATGTTTTCTATGACAACCTGGTTGATGTTATTTAGTTTTAGGGATTTGGGGTTCTATTTTTCTAGAGATGCTTGACTGTTTGGGACTTGGTTCTGCAGAAGCGTAGTAAAGTTGTGAATACTTCAAAAAGGCCTGACTTGATGGATGGGTTTCTCTTGATTTCATAAAGTACTTAATGGAGGATTTGTTAAGATTGTTAAAGATATGAAAATGCTCTGATATGTGGGGGTCTTTTTTTTCCCGTTTCGTACCCAACATTTATCATGAAGGACTGGATTCTTTTCTGTTTTATTTAAATCATTTTTAAGTTTAGACCCTGCTATCATTCCACTGACTAGGATTTGTTTATAGATTGTCAAAATAGTCAGCCAAAAGGAAAGAGCAACAAAAGTAATGGCGACCAAGATATGCGTAGTGATTCGATCTTTTCATCACCCAAACCTTTTGTGGGGGCTTCCACCTTCCACACGGAGGATAGCATTGCCTGAATCACGAGTCTTATATACTGTGTTGCGATCACCTCATATTGATAAAAAGTCCAGAGAGCAGTTTGAAATGGAAATCAAGAAACAGTATCTGGTCATAAAGACACAACCGCATGAATTGCAGAAGAAGTTTTTTTGGCTAAAGCGCCAACGTATATTTGGAGCTCAATATGAACTCCTTTTTTCTTGTAAGACTCGCTTGGATAAGGAACAACTGCAGAAATTGCTTTGAAGCAAGATCCTTGCATTGACCCTTCCTTGAACTCTACCAGCATGGCGGCGCCGCTGGACGGTTCTGATAAACACAGGAAGGGAGGGGAAAAAATAGCACGTCAAATGATGCCCTAGTTTGTATTGGGGCTGGTGTTTTTCAAGTTTTGTAAGTTTAAAATCTGTTTTCATCGGATAGGAAGATGCAGAACTGTTTTTGGTTATTGTGGGATTTTGCGTCCAAGTTAGAGAATGATATGAGATTGCTATAATAATCCAACACTTGACATTTTCAACTTGGAGTTGGATATCTCACTGAACATTTGCATTATCTCTAATGTTAGAAGGCACAGGCAATGAAATACTTGCATTAGAGGGCTGGAACTTCCTGTGCTGCAACTTCTTTTGTTTTTCGTTTTTGTTTTTCTTTGCTTTATTATCTTTACCGTGTGCCAGATTGGTCACCTATTCCATATCCTTGCTTATATTTTTATTTCTTTGGTGACACCAAAATTCATCAAATTAGTACAAACATGCATGGGTTTTACACTAAACCCTATATTCTTCAACTACAATATTTTCGAGGGTTTTTACGAGAATTTCTAATTTCTTGGAACAAAAATTATATGTTTCAACTTACTCCCTTAAACATATATAGGTCTAAACTTCCCTATAACTCTATCTAGAATCAATTGGCCTCGTGGTGCAGTTGCCAATGCAATTTTATTTCTAGTCCTTTTAAATCTGTTTACATATGTATTAATTTTGGAGTGCTTTTCTGCAATTTTCTTCTTCCATAAAGGGCTTGTAACAAAAAAAAATAAAAAATAAAAAATAAAAAATTGCTTGTGCTCTGATGTTAATGGGATCAGAAGGAAAAAAGAAAGATCCAAAAGATATAAAACGAGAACGAGGTGTGTTTATATCCAAAATGAGCAGTCAATGAGGGCCAGACACGTGGATAAAGATTGTGCTTAACCATGGTGGCTTTCAACACCCAGCCTACCGATTCCTCGATTAGGACAACCTCCTTCTCCAGGACACGTGGTAGGCCCACAATCGATGTCTATAGTCCCACATCGAAAATCTACACAACAAACACACCTTCCAAGGCTTATAAAAGGAGCACAATTCCCCAAAATAGAGGTAATTAGAACTTACGACATACTGCCTATTGATCTGTCAGTTTAAGCTTACTAAATCCGTACTTACTTAAGTATCGGAGAGCCTTCGACCGGTACCACACCGGTACTCTAGGTCTTACCGAGCGTTTGTTATCTTGCAGATCACGCGCTCTACCGAGGCCCCGGGCATACCGAAGGCCCATACATCACTAAGTTGAGCGGGAAAATGCTGAACTATTTTTCTGCGTCAACAAGGTGGGTGGCTCAAAGAAATTGTAAACTAGTAGATGGGTGGGTGTATAAAAGGATAGCTAATTTGAAGAATGGGTCAATGAGCTGCTTAATTCTTAATTTATGGAAAATGACTCGGTCTTTTTAAAATTCTCTCAAATTGTAATGTCAACTTAAACAAAAATATGGTGGTCCATTAATCAATTATCTGTACACTCAGGCATCATGTCCAAATAGTGGGTCTTTGTTTATCAGAAGAAAAAAGCTTTGGTCAACTTTGTTGCGTGCTTGATCTGAATATCTAACAAAATCCAACTGTCAAGATGATTGTTTAGGGTTAAATAAAAGACAAAAACCAAAAAAACAATAAAAAAAACAACCACAAAAAGGTTGACAAATTCAAGGAAGCTTAAGATGTCATATTTTGCATTACATTACGCAGCAAGAAATGGTGAGGGGAGGTTAAGCAAAGTCTAATGCTTCTATATAACAAAAATCTCACCACTTGTAAAGGACCCATTAGTGTAGTGGTTTGGAGCAATTGCTTCCTTAGATAAGATTTTAGGTTCGAGTCCTAACTTGCGTATAGTGTGTATAAGTTTAATATATTTTCGCCCCTCTTTATAGGAAAGGTGCTCAAAAAATAAATAAATTCTTGGAAGCTAGGGTTCACTACCAGCTTTCAGATTTTCTTCATAGCGCTAGTGCAGTGGTCTGGAAATTGGAGTAACTACATTTGCATTATCTCTAATGTTAGAAGGCACATGCAAAGAAATCTGCCTCTCAGATGCAACTTCTTTTGTGTTTGCTTTTTTTTGTTTTGTTTTTTTTGTTTTTCCTTTGCTTAATTATCTTTAGCATGTGCCAGATTCATCCCTATTCCAATATCATTGCATGTATTTTTATTTGTGGTGACACCAACTAGCATATATTCATCAAATCGTTTGGCAGACATTAATCCAAATTTCAGACGACCAATGGCTTCGGCTTCAAGAACCATACAGAAACTAATAGGAACTGCGCCTGCAAGCTTCACTCTTCCGTTTGAATCTCCTACAACAAAACCAACAGCAGCGGCCCTTTTGTTTTTTGGTCAAACAACTGCAGCCGCCTTCTAGGAATATTATGCACTGGACATGTTGTACTATTAAAGTTCAACTTGTAAGTTGTAATAGGAAGGTGGGGGTTTTCTATGCCTTTTTATATTGCGCATTTGGTTCAACGTAATGTTTTGAGTTCACTTTAGTGCAACTGGCTTTGAATCTCTATTTAATGAAACTTAATTCCGACATTAAAAAAAAAAAAAAAAATTTGGTGAGGATGACATTTAACATTTAAGTTACCCTTTCTAGTATTCAGTTTCCGTATAATCAAGAGCGGAACCAGGGATTTTTCAATAGGTGGGCTAATTAAAATAAAGTTGTTTAGCTTAAAATCTAAGGACCAATTTTTGTTTGGATACTTACTGTTTCTATAGTTTTTCTAGAAATATATTAAAGTACATATTGGGATAAAATAGTAAAAGGTTGAGAGTTAAAATCATGAGTGTTTATTAAGAGATTATTTTATTAATGGAGCAAACAAATTAAATATAATATGATTATATGCCTACAAAAATTGAGTAGACAATGGGTTACAAAACTACATTTGAGTGGGCTACTAAGTTTTTATGGGATGGATAACATTAAAATATATGTAATATATTTTAATTTTATAAAAAGGCTACCTGGGCTAGAGCCCATGATAGCCCTCTACCTAGTTCCGCCCGTGCGTATAATATTACGATGAATTCGCCAAAAAAATTCAAAGAGTTTGTTTTATTGAATAAATCGCAAATAAAACATTCGAGGATTTATGGTTAAAAATGAGTTCTTATGTTGAAAACAAATATGCCAGCAAATAGTTATTAAAAAAAGAATCCTATATAAAACCCACAACCGCTCCCAATCATGCAAAATCCAGTGCACAATATTTCTTTTTTTATTAGAAAAAGAGATAATATTTTCTTGATAAAATATAATAAAGTACAGAGTAGTCATAGTGCCAAATATGAATACAACATGTCCAGTGCATAATATTCAGAAAGCTTCGCAAAGCATTAGATTTTCCTGGCAAAAATGCAGTGTTATTATTACAAAAGGAGACAAATATTATCTATGTCCATAACCTAAGAAAGTTTATCCCTAGTATTTACTTTATTTTGAATGAGAACGCCAACAAAAATTCTTAATTTTAAGAGGTAACACCATTTTTCAAATTTTATTGAGAGACGGTTCAATGAACTGATTAAGTACTCGCACAATTTGCACTTCGTGTCTGGATTATGAACTAATTAAGCCTCCATTTTCAATCATACATATACAAATTGTGAATCATGTAACTGTGGGAAAAAATTAATTATTTAACTTGGGTCAACTCTGTTGTGTTCTAGAGAAAAGCACTAAAAGGGTGACCAACAAAGAAGCACAAGATATATATATATATATACTCTTGTAGGGTCCAATTCGTATTACATTTCACTAATCCAAATCATCTATTTTGTATATACTCATTCAAAGATCATCTCTACAAAAAATGACTTGAATCCGATATCATTTGTCCACTCAATTGAATTATTCAAATTTTAGTACTTTCTTGAAGTACCGTGTTCATTGATATTGTATGACACAATTGGATATGAAAACGGTTTCCGATTTGTCTAATTTTTTGCAAGGACGATCTATGAATGTAGACTTAAAAAATAGATGGTTTGGATCGTTGAAAAAAAATTTCGTGGGGAACTCTAAAGTGTGTTCCTCAAATAATTATTTGAGGGCTCTATGTATATATAATCTTGGTTCCAATCCAAAGTTTGAGGGAGTGTCTTTCTAATTCAATTAGAAATGGGTAGTTCTATCCATCCTCTTGTCGAAATCACATCACGAAAGATCATTAAGCCATCATCTCCAACTCCTTATCACCTTAAAAATCTCAAGCTCTCTCTTTTGGATCAAATGTTTCCTCCTACGTTATATGGAACCCTCTTGTTTTTCTACACCAACCATTGGCATTGTGCCGATTTTGCTTCCAAAGCTTCTAAGCGCTTGCAAGAGTCTCTGTCCAAAACTTTGGTTCTCTTCTATCCATTGGCTGGCCGGCTCAAAGGTCCTGCGTTCATCGAGTGCAACGATGAAGGGGCTCATTTCTTGGAAGCTAGGGTTAACTGCCAGCTTGCAGATTTTCTTCAACAACCAGAGCCCAAGTTACTCAATCACTTGATCCCCGAGACCGATTCTAAAACAGCTCAAGTAGCCATGGGGTCTGTTATTTTGCTTGTTCAAATCAATGTTTTTAACTGCGGAGGAATTGCTATTGCAGTATCTCCTTCGCACAAAATTGCAGATGTAAAATCGCTCTACACGTTCGCGCAAACATGGGCCGCCATAAATCGTGATGAAGATCAATATGATGATGGAGTTGGAGGGCGATTAGTGTTGCCGGAGTTTAATGGAGGAAATTTGTTGCCGTCTAGAGACTTACCGGCCTTCCCAAACACCTTGGAAACGCCTAGTGAAAATTTAACTGCTAGGAGATTTGTGTTTGATGTCTCAAAGATGGCAAGTCTCAAGGCCAAAATTGAGGGTATTGTCCAAAATTTCATCCCCACAAACGTACAACTAGTTTTGGCAATCATCTTAAAATGTGCTATTGCTGCTTCTCATAACTCCAA